GGAGGGGTGCTGAGGATTCTTGTGAGTGGAGGAGGGGATGGGGCAAACAGCAGGATTCTGGAGCTCAGAATCTGTCTCTTTAGGGGTCACAGAGGTACATGAGGTGGATGGGTGGGTGACCCTTTTGTACTTAATTTAACCACAAATGTGCTTTTGAGTGCCTACTTTATGACTTGCACTTCAGGGTAATATATGGTGTTTCAGGTTTTTTGGCTTCTAAGAAATAAAATAAAATTTTTCTATCAATTCAGTATTTTCCTTGAGGCCCCGAACTGGGGATTTAGGTCCAAGATCTCCCTGCTGAGATGTGGAGTGGTGGTTTTCTGTCATCATGTCTAATACTTGTAGCTGCTTCTCATCTAGTTGTTTGAAGAGGCCAGCAGACCTCGTTACACTTTCTTGGGGGCAACCTGTGTCCCAAGAGGATTTGGGTCTGGGGAAGCACTGAAATTTCAGTGTAACCCGCTGAAATTTCTTGCTGAGTGGGGATGCAGTGGCTCTAGGAATGAACCTAGAGGAGCCAGCTTCTGTCTTGGCCCAAAGTGTAGATTCAAAGGGAACTCAACCACTGTAACCCACTACCTTGGTCCTGGGTTCCCAGCCTCCCTGAAGCCCTCTGTAACTTGGGCCCCTGATAGAGCCTAAGAGGTGGAGTAAAAAGGCTTAGGACGGGTAAATAGTGGGGGTTAGGTGTTGAGAGTGCTCTTGCCTTTTGGCCTCTCTGGTCCCTAAACCTTTCCACAGCCACCTTCCATAGCAGACTCCAGAGCGGGGCGATCTGGCCAAGGATGTCTGAGGAAACGCCTAACAGAGACGCCCCTCCCCAGCGGCAGCTCTCTCCGGCTTACAGAAGGTCCCCAAGAGAGGGCGCCCTCCAGGGACGGATTGGACCCCGCTTCATGGAGGCGGGACTCAAGGCTAGCCGGTGGATGGGGTATTTAAGACTGGGAGGAGTTGGAGGTAGCCAAGAGCAAAATGAGTGGGCTACTGGGTGCCAGGACCTGCTCAAGCCCAGGAGAGGTCTCGGACCTTAAGTCCCCCCTGGGCACCAAGCTCAGGGAGCCTCTCACCGAGGCTCGGTTCCAGCAGCTCTTCGGGGGCGCAGAGCAGGAGCAGGAACTACTCGCGGAGCCCCGTTGGTCTGGGCTGTGCAGACTGTGGAAACGGCCGGCCCGCGCCTGTTCCGGACCAGGGCTGTGGCGCCTGTTGCGGGCACGGCTGCCCCCGCTGCGCTGGCTGCTCCACTACCGTTGGAGGGCCTGGCTGCTTGGAGATGTGGTGGCTGGAGTGACTGTGGGCATCGTGCACGTGCCCCAGGGTAAGCGGCCTCAACACCAGCCTATCAGGGGCCCAAGTTACAGAGGGCTTCAGGGAGGCTGGGCACCCAGGAGCGAGGTAGTGGGTTAGAGTTGTTGAGGGTTTGGAGACAGGGACTTGAGACAAGTTCTGGGTAAGGACTATGGAGCTCCAACAGATCCCCACCCCCAGCTGCCCTCAGCTGCGCAATCCTGCGAGAAGTAGTGGACACGATCCAGCTCAGGGAACTGGAGAGAAGGACAACGCCTGCCCCCAGGACTGGGCTGATACGGATCTGTGACTTTGTCCACGCAGTAACCTCCCACCAGGCCCGTTAACCCCTCAGTTCCCTCATGTGACAAGGTTTAACATACCCTTGCCAGACTCTGAGAGTGCGGGAAGGGGACAGCATCCTGAAGCTGCGCACCCTTCATTCCTCCACCCCCATAAATCGTTCCTTCCACCTCTCCCCCAGGCATGGCTTTTGCTCTCTTGACCTCCGTGCCTCCAGTGTTCGGCCTCTACACGTCTTTCTTTCCTGTCCTCATCTACACCTTGTTGGGTACTGGTAGACACCTGTCCACAGGTGAGTGACCCAATGACTTCTCTTTTCTGTGGAATGAAAATGGACAGGGGTTTGAGGCTTCTGTTCTTGTAAGCTCCCTAGCTCTTATCCCCAGTTCACCACCGTTGCCCTGCCATGACCCTCTGACCTAGGCAATGCTTGTTGCAGGTACAAAGAGGAGGGAATATACACCGACATGAAATTTGGTTAAAATTTCTGAGACTTGGAAGAGGGACAAGACATGCAGTCCGCGGGACGTCTGCAGGAGGGGGCAGTGATGCAGTCTAGGGACTTTTTTTTTTTTTTGCCGGTTGGTGCCCTCTCCTAACCTCCCTCATCACGGGGTTCCCGGCTTCTGCACCAGCTTAGCCCCGCGGTCTTCACTTGAGCAGCTGCCTTCTAGTGATCGAGGTCTAATGGCCAAAGCCTGGGTCGAAAGCCCAGAGCCTGGGCTGTCGCTGCGCGCCAGGCGCCAGGCGGCACAACTGGTAATTTCTGCGTTTGTCCTCCGGCCCTAGGAACCTTCGCCATACTCAGCCTCATGACGGGCTCTGCCGTGGAGCGGCTAGTGCCCGAACCCCTCGCGGGGAACCTGAGCGAAATCGAGAGGGAACAGTTGGACGCTCAGCGGGTTGGGGCAGCTGCGGCCTTGGCCTTTGGGAGTGGGGCCTTGATGGTGAGGGAGGACCCTGGGGGATCCACGCTGGGGGCCCGGGGGATTAGGCCAGGGGAAAGGGTGGCGCAGCCGGAGAGGTGCGCGGAGAAGCCAGTGCACTGCGCTCCAGCTGGTCTCCTTCGGTGGTGACTGGGCATCTTCTTCCCCGCAGCTGGGGATGTTCGTGCTGCAGCTGGGCGTCCTGTCCACCTTTTTGTCGGAGCCAGTGGTTAAAGCGCTGACCAGCGGGGCCGCGCTGCACGTGCTCGTGTCCCAACTGCCGAGCCTTTTGGGGTTGCCCCTCCCGCGCCAGATCGGCTGCTTCGCTCTCTTCAAGGTGGGTGGGAGTGGGAGAACAACTGAAAAGAGGTTTCTGGCAGTCCCAGGAAGAGGGCAACCAGAAAAGAAAGAAAGGACGACTGGAGAGACAGTATGTAACGGGGTGAAGGAAAGGTTAGAACCAAGAGGCTGAAAGAGGGTCCCCGTGAAGGTGGAAGCTCTGATGGGAGCCAGGAGACAGAACCTAGACTGGGTCTGGTGGGTCCGCGCTGGGGACAGTCGACTCTGGTTCCAGGCCCTCTGCTCACGGCCCCCGCCCGCAGACATTGGCCGCTGTGCTGACCGCGCTGCCCCGGAGCAGTCCGGCCGAACTGACCATCTCCGCTCTTAGCCTGGCACTGCTCATCCCGGTCAAGGAATTGAACGTGAGATTCCGAGACAGGCTACCCACCCCGATCCCAGGGGAAATCGTCATGGTGAGGATGGCTCTTGGGTACCGTCCCCCCTGCACCTCCCGCAGACCTGTCCATCCAGTAGGAACTGGCCGCTGCCGCCCCCTAGTGGCATGCAGAGAGGTCACATCCAAGAGGTCCTGTTTACAAAAGTACTTTTCTAGGCCTCTTCCCAGAACACTTTGACCCTCCGGAATCCCCCTTTCACACATTTCCACTCTTTTCACGGAGTCTCCTCTATACTTCTTAGAATGCCTTCTTCCTCCTTACAGCGCTCCCGTGCCGTGTCGCTCGCCACAGCACCTCCACTCCCATCTCTCTCCTTGCCGGATCTTTCACTGTAATTCAGCTTATTTCTCTTCCCACGCCTACCTATTTTTCTCCCCCCACCCCCAAGTAAATAAATGTTCCACGTCTCCACAGATACCCTACAGATCCCCAGACATAGCCAAACTTCCCTACTTACAATGGTTTGCTTTTGCCTCCTGATATCCACATCCCTCCCTCTTAGGAGTCCCCCTTTCTCCTACTGTCCATCTCTCTCTATAGCCCCAGGTAGGTATTATTCCTCTTTTCATCCTCACTCTCCTTCCCTCTAAATTAGTTGTCAGGCACCCATTCTAGACACATCCCAGCTCCCCAGTTGCTAGGCTCCTGCAGCCACCGAATCCTGCATTTTGACCCTCTCTCATGTTGAGCCCTTTTAGCTTCTGCCCGGGGACCCATTTCCTCTTATGCCTTAATACGCTCTCTTTCTCAGGTGCTTCTGGCCTCTGTGCTCTGCTTCACCTCTTCCCTGGACACGAGATATAACGTCCAGATAGTAGGGCTGCTGCCTGGAGGGTAAGAGAATGACAGAACACCCCTTTCTCTTCTCACACCTCTCATACCAATACTTCCTTTTGTCCTGCTCCACCCTTTTTTTTCTCTGTCTTCCCTATAATCCTTGTTATATCCAATCCATCCTTATCATGGATCCCTCTCTCTCCAGATTTCCCCAGCCTCTCCTCCCCAACCTGGCTGACCTACCTAGGATTCTGGACGACTCACTGCCCATTGCACTGGTTACTTTTGCTGTGTCCACCTCCCTGGCTTCCATCTATGCAGACAAATATAGCTACACTATTGACTCTAACCAGGTGTGACTCCAACTGAGGACTCCGACCTCATTCAGGAGACAATGCCTTAATGTTACCCACCCCCCATGCCTTTGTTTCTCTTATCTCTCTGTACCCCCCCCCCCCCAGGAGCTCTTGGCGCACGGTGCCTCCAACCTCATCTCCTCCCTGTTCTCTTGCTTTCCCAACTCGGCCACATTGGCCACCACCAGCCTATTAGTGGATGCTGGTGGGAACACACAGGTAAGAGTGCATCCTTGAGTAAGAAGAAAGGGTGGGGGAGACATCCAGGTCAGGGTGGTGGTGATGGTGGAGAAACAGGTGGCAGCTATATGGAGGACTTTGTAAGGGGATGGGTGGGTGAGGGGATGGGTTTATCTAGGTAGGAGGGAAAGAAGAGAACTTAGTTCCATTAAGACCTCTGTACACTGTAAACACTTAAAAAGTTTATGGTGCTCCAGTTCAAAGTAAAAACAATACTAAATTGTAAAATAAATTTAAGAGACAAAATTCTAATTTTTTCCATAAGGACATTTTCATTTAAAAAGAAATATCACAGTTTCTCTCTCACATTGATGTTTCTAACTCTCTCTCCCTCTCCCTTCCTCTCTCTCTAAAAAAAAAAAAAAATTCAGTAAAAATATTTTTAAAAAAGAATTATCACATATCAAACTCTCCCCTAATATTTTTATATTTCTTGTTTCTGTTACTTTGTGGGTTCCCTAAGCATGTGGTTAGCCTACTTTTAGGGTAACCCCACCGAGCCTTTAAAGATGGAGGTGGGTTACAAAAATAGAGAAGTTGAACTACATCTAGGTGTGAATGGCAGAATATCAAGAAGCTCATTGAGGAGTGAGAAATATCTGTGTGGAAGGGGATTTGGGAGGAGAGAGACTTTCAAGGAAGTTGAGGCCAAGTGGGCAGAAAGACACCTGTCACACCAGGGTGGGCGAAGTTCCCTTCCTTCTTTGCTTCCACCGGTCCTTCCCTCCAGCTGGCAGGCCTCTTCTCCTGCATAGTTGTCCTGTCGGTAATGCTGTGGCTGGGACCCTTCTTCTACTATCTGCCCAAGGTAAGGAGCAGAGGAATTGTGGGGGTGGCTGGGGGTAGTGGCTATATTCTAGAACATTGGTGTGATTAATTTCTCTCCTCTGCCCCAAGGCTGTCCTGGCCTGCATCAACATCTCCAGCATGCGCCAGATGTTCTTCCAGATGCAGGAGCTTCCACAACTGTGGCGCATCAGCCGTATAGACTTCGTGAGAAATGGCAGCATTACCCCCAGATTGCCCCCCTCTTATTTTGCCAGAATCCCCAGCCTCTGCCCTGGATTAAAGCTAATTGTCCTGGTCCTAAATTCTATAACCAACCCACCCCCAACATGCATCCCTTTTAATCCCTTTCCTCCAAGATAAGGTGAAGGGTGGGATTTTAACCCCTTCAGACCTGAATATGTGTAACTCCCCAGAAGGTGCAAGGTCTGGGGTCATTACATTTGGTGTGTATCCACTGTTGGGTAAATCCTTTCCCTTCCTTCCTTCCACCTTCTCCCGGGTCATCCCTCCCCATCACTTTCCCTGGCAGTCACTGCCCCTGGACCCTTTTCATTAGCAGTGGCCTAGCATTTCTTCTAGGCATTTCACTTCCACCTATGTCCTGCAGGCTGTGTGGATGGTCACATGGGTGGCTGCAGTGACCCTCAGTGTGGACATGGGCCTGGCCATAGGCGTGATATTCTCCATGATGACTGTGGTCTGCCGCACCCAGAGGTGGGAGTAGAGATAAGGGGAGTCAAGATGAGGGAAGGGGAGAGAACAGAGTGCTTGGGGTGACTTTTCAGCCAGGACAGGCTGGAAATCTGACCCCAGCTTCCTGCCTAGGGTGCAGTGTGTGGCACTTGGACTAGCTGAGGGGACAGAGCTCTACAGACCACTCAAAGAGAGCCACAAGGTGGGCGAACTACAACCAGAGAAGGGACAATTAGACCTGGATGTTTCTCTGACCCTCTGACTCCTTAGCTCCTCCAGGTTCCAGGGCTCTGCATCCTGAGCTACCCAACACCTCTCTACTTTGGGACCCGTAGGCAGTTTCACCATAAACTAGAGTGGCACCTGGGGCTTGGAAGAGGCAAGGTGAGGGACTTGGTCAAAGGGGAGTGTTCTCTGCTAGTGGGAGGCACGTGGGTTTCTGAGGGGGATCATTGTGCTCCAGGTGTGCACATTCATGCTTGTGCTTCGCAAGTGGTGACTGCCCTTTTCTACTCACAGGAGACTCCAAAGATGCACGGCCCACCTGATGCAGGTAAGATGGGATGCCAAGAAAGAAGATTTGGGCATATTTCATGGGAGCATCTGGGTACTCTTGCCGTCTCCCATCCTAGTTGCTGAGCCTGTCAGAGTGGTGGTCCTAGACTGCAGTGGTGTCACCTTTGCAGATGCTGCTGGGGCCAAAGAAGTGGTACAGGTGAGGAAGAGGGTAGGTTGAGGAGAAACTCCCCTTATCATCCCATGCATACTCTCTGATGTAGGGTCTAACTCACTACCCCACTTCTGCAGCTGGCCAGCAGATGCCAAGATGCTGGGATCCACTTTCTCCTAGCTCAGTGTAATGGTGAGAGGTGTGGAGTATGGAGGGACCTGGAGACTGGGGAATGGCCAGATACTTGAGGGAGGGAAGAGGACAGTGTGGACTTAGAACCTGAGAGCCTGATTCTCTCTTCACACAGCCTCCGTGTTAGGGACACTGACCCAGGCAGGACTCCTGGACAGAGTGACCCCAGAGCAGCTGTTTGTGAGTGTCCAGGATGCAGCTGCTCATGCCCTGGAGAGACTGGTGAGGGGGCAGGAGCAACAGGAGTGGAAGCCAGGAGGTGCTGGGCTGTAGCAAGCGAGGTGTGAGTGAGTGGCTGAAGATCCAGGCAGAGGGATTTGGGAAGGGGGCTGAGGAGGAAGATGGAGGAAGGGGTGGGGATAAAATGATTAGTTAATTTATCAAGACTAAGCCAGGAAGCCCTGGCCGGGTTGCTCAGTTGGTTGGAGCATCTTCCTGTATACCAAAATAATATTGCAGGTTCAATCCCTGGTCAAGGTGCATATGGGAGGCGATTGATGGACATTTCTCTCTTACATCAATGTTTCTCTCTCTAAAATCAATAAACATATCCTCAAGTGAGGATAAAAAAAAGGCAGGGAGAATGAGCCCAGCTATGGGTGAAGAACTGAGGAACTAAGGGTATCAAAGGGGGTGGTATGTCCCTCAGAAGACTGACAAATCCTGGATGAGGAAAGTAGGGGTACTTAATTTATTCCTGACATGTTCCCTTCCTTTTCCAGGAGCTCACTGGTCCAAAGACTTGTACAGTATGGGTCTGACCCAGTCACTTGGAGTATGGCAGGCCCAACAATATGTGTGTGAGAAGGGCCTTGGCCCCTGAACCCCCTTACTTAATGTAACTAATAAATTGAAGCTGAGAGACTCTGGGATTCATGAAGTGAGTCTGGGTGTCTGCACACCGTCCTCTGGTGCCCCTTCCTCCATGCCCACAGCATTGCAGAGACACAACTAAAAATGGCCTTCATCTGTGTGTTCACTAGTCCTCACCCCTACTCCAGTCACCAGTTCTCTCCATGGTGGGGCTGCAGCTGGTGCACAGTCCTGGATCCAGAATTGGGGAAAAAGGGCACAGGCTTGGGAATACATGTTGGGGGCCTCCCCATGCACTCAGTCCCCAGGAGATGAGTGTTTCCACTTTAGGTTCTTAGAGTCCCTTGGGCTCTTTGGCACTTGGAAAGTGACTCCCCACCTCCATGAGAAGGGGTAGAGGGAAGACTTGGCACTGGCTGTGGGATGAGTTATGGCTCCATCACGCCCCTGGGCACTCACAGAAAGGAGGAGTATCACCAGGCAAGCCCCTGTTTGGAATCAGGTTCAGAAGGGGGTTGGGGGCAGTCAGTGGAGTGGTCACTGGTTAGTGGAGTTTGCTAGAAATCCCTGGCAGGGACAAGGAGGCAGGCCCAGCCTGACAGTGGGAAGGCCTGAGTAGCCATCACTCTGTCGTCATGCACTGCAGCCGGTGTTTGAAGAAGAGCAGGCGGTGTTTGGCCATCTGACTTTCGTCCAGTGATTCTGGATAACGGTACCGAGCATAAGTCTCTGTTTCAGCATCCTTTGATGTCCAAGGCAGCTTCAACTTGGATGCGTGATCCACAACAACATCTGAGCAGGAGCCCACCCGAAGGGAACCAAGTCCATCCAGGAAGAATTCTGGGGGTGGAGGAAAGGGGAGTACACCATGAGGGGTCCTGAGGGTGCAGAAAGCCAACCCTTAGGGAGAACTGAGATTTGGGACGTGGAGGGTGCACATGCAAAGGCTCCACTTCTAAGGACCAGGGGAAATGGCTAGGAGACAGGTAGAGGTGGCAGTGACAGCGGTAGGAAAGTTCAGGTGGACTCAGCGGCTGTGCTGGATGTGAAGGTGTACGTGGTGTGCAGGCCAGGAGGTGGGAGGTCTTGGTAAATCTTCGAAGAACTGCTCTAGGGGGACAGGGTGGCAGCCGTGGGCTCCGCTGGGGTGGGCGGGGAGGAGAACCCAGTCCCTTGGCGCCTTGCTGCACGGAATCGCGCCTAGCACTGGGATCCTGTCAGAAGGGAGCACCACTCACCTAGGTGGGCCACACGGCTGAGGCGCGGGTCAAAGCCCACCTCGCGCACCTTGTCGGTGCGTGCCAGGAAGAAGTTGACCACGCCGTCAGTGACCACGCAGCCTGGGAAGCCGCTGAGCTTATAGTGGAAGCCACGCCTTTGCCGCAGGCAGTTCCCTTGGCCTGGCGCGCCGGGCTCCACACTCAGTAGCCGCCGGTAGGTGGTGGCGAAGCCCGAGATCTCTCGCACTGCGCCCCCCACCTGCCGGGAGTGGGAGGAAGGCTCCTGGAGGGGTGTCGATCTGTGCTCCCTCTACCCTCCCAACCCCTGCGTTTCCCTTGCCCCATCCTTTTCTGCTCTACCCCTTCAAGACCTAGATATTACCCAAGGCTCCGCTTTTTCGTCCTCTCTTGTCCCAAGGGCAGGGTGCCCTCTGCTCATCTCCCCAGGCCTGGTCTTAACCAGGCCCTCTTTCTCCCGCCCCACATCCTGCGGCCCCTTCCCTACCAGGTCCAAAGGCGTCCGTTCCAGCACGTCTACAAGCCTCTCGAGCCGGGTCCGGGCGGTGAAGATGAAGTCGTCGTCCACCCACAGCACGTACTTAGTGGTTACTTGAGACACGGCCAGGTTCCGGCCTGCAAACCAGCCCTGGGGAAAGGTGCGTGTGGTTGGTGAAGCTGTAAAGGTATGTCCTACCTCTGCCACCTTTCCTTTTCACTCTTAATCCCTCTCAACAGCCTGTACCCCTCTCCAAACTTCGAGTTCTTACGAATTTCAGGGGAGCTAAGTAAAAAATAGTTTCCCATTGTCAGAGGTTCTGAGTCAGTGTGGGGGGAAGTGTCTTGGAATGCATTTAATTCCTGCGTGCATTCATTCAGTTATTTATCATGCACCCACTATGTGCTAAGCACCATTCTAAGAATGCAACGCGAATTAGACATGATCCCTGTTTTCACAGAGTTTACATTCCAGGAAGCTTCAAGGTTAACAGGCACCCTCCATGATTTTGAGACAGATAATCCTGGAATCACTATTCTGGAGACTGCAGACTGAGCGCACGCCCCCTCCTGGGGCCTTCGGGCACCCAACTCAGCCTGACTCACTGCGCACCTTGCCAAAAGGCATGAGATAGTGCTCAATGTGGGGACCGCTAATGATCTCTGGCTTGTCGCTGTCATCGGCAATGACCACAGTGACGGTCGGGTAGAAGCGGCGGATGCTGGCGATGAGTGCCCGCAGCCGAGTGTAACGGAGGAAGGTCTTAGTGGCAATGGTGACCAGAGCACTAATGTTGTACTGGGCTGGAAGAGAGGGCAGGGTTAGATGCAGACAAGGAGAGTGGAAAGTGAGGAGCAAAAAGACATCTTCTCCCAGGCAACCCTCTCTCAACTTGCTGCACACGGGGCTGCATCCATGTCCTTGCTTGCACAAGCCTCACCTCCCTGTGGTAGAGACCCAGGTGGGTACAGCCGAGGGTTGGGGGGGTGTCTTATATGAATGGTGAAGGCCGCTTCATGTCCCTCGGTGGAGAATCGGACTGGGAAAAAGGACATGAGATGTGGAACAGCACTATCTTTTCCATAAATAAATATTTAAGTGTTTATTTTGTGTATCATCTTTCCAGGCCCTGGTGGACAAGAACCCAAAGTTCTTACCCCCGTGGAACTGACATTCTAATAGAGGGAGAAAGACAAGAAAACATTTAATTAAAAGCTAACCTTGCCAGGCAGGTGTGGCTCCGTGGATTGGGCATAGTTTTATGGACTGAGAGGTCCTGATTCTATTCAGGTCAGGGCACATGCCCCGGTTGCTTGCCCGCTGGATTCCCAGTAGGGGGCGTGCAAGAGGTAGCCAATGGATGTTTCTCCTACATGGATGTTTCTCTCTCTCTCTCTTCAAAAAATCAATAAAAACATATTTTTAAAAGGCGACCTTTATTGAGCATTTACTATGGACCAGACACTTTTAGACACTTTTTAAAAAATCCTCACCAAGGATATTTTTCCATTGAGTTTTTCAGATAGAGTGGGGGAGAGAGAGAGAAACATCCATTGGTTGATTGAACCTGCAACCCAGGTATTTGTCCTTGACCGGGAATCAAACTCAAGATCCTCCAGTCTGCTGGCTGAGGTTCTAACTGCTGAACCAAACCGGCCAGGGTGTGAACCAGGCACTTTTTAAATTACCTTAAATATATGGACTGATTTAATCCTCACAATAGCCTTATTAGGTAGATTCCTACTACAGAAAAAGAAGGCACAGAGAAATTAAATAATCTGCCACATTTAGACGACTACTAAGCAACAAAGCTGGGATAGAAACCTAGTCAGTTTGGTTTCAGGTTAAGTAAATAAGAGGAGTTCAGATACTGGTAAATATTGACTAGAAAATAAGACAATAATGTGATAGTGAAGAAGAGACATTTGAGCTGAGATCCAAATGACAAGAAGGAGCCAGCCATGCAAAAAACCTGGGGGAAGAGCATTCTAGGCAGAGGGAACAGCAAGTGCAAAGGCCCAAAGTGGGAGCAGGTTTGGTGTCGCAAGCCTTGGAGAGAAGCCAGAGGGCTGATAGGCCCATTTTGCTTGAAGTGGGAGCTTTGGGAGATAAAGCCCCTTGCCCTGTAGTAAGTGGTGGGCTGGGAATAGAGCTTGAATCTTCTGGCTCCTGGGGCCCCCATGGTTGGTCTGAGGAGGAGACACACCCAAGGCTCAGATTTCCCTCCAGCCTGCTCTGAGCCCAAATGAACAAAGACCTCTTTTCTTCCTCCCTGGCCCTGCTGGCCTAGCTGAAATGCCCATTGTGTGGCTGGTCAGCTCTGGCCATTGCCTGAGTGACTCCCACACTTTCTGTCATTTGCCCAATCCAGCTTTTCTGGGTTCTCTCTGTTCACTTAGACTGCCCCTACCTCCACCCAGTGCCTCACACCTGTGTCTGCCGTATTTGCCTGGTAGCTTTGGCTGCTATAAATGACCAGTTGCAGCTGCCGATTGAGTTGGTCCAGTCCTCGGCTGGTGAGAGTGAGATTTTGCTGCCCCTCTCCCACGAGAGTCACTCCAGTCACTTCCCCTGCCACATCCCATGTGCCCAAGGAGGCAGTCAGGTTCACCTGGGAGAGGGTATTGGACAATGCAGCCTTAGCCCCCAGATCTATCTCTTGCCTCCCTGATTCCTCCAACCCTCCTTTGACAGCCCTGTTTCCCTCCCAGCATCCTTGATGCCCACTTAGCTTCCCTGCCTTCCTGTTTCTTCTCACCTGGTATACCTCCTGACCTGCAGCCTGCAGGCTCAATCCTGGGAGGAAGGAGGGGGATGAGAATCACAGAGAGTTTTGATCACATTCTCTTCCCTCTTTTCCACACACAACACAGAGCTTCTCACTTCTCCCTCTTGTTGAGGCAGCTGGGCACAATGGGGAAGTAGCCTAGAGTAACTGATTTTTTAAAAAAATATTCTTTTATAGCACAATTTATTTATTTATTTTTTGTACGTGCCCCCAGCGGGAACCGAACCCAGAACTCTCTGGTCCACAGGTCAATGCTCCAACCTCTGAGCCAAACTGGCCAGGGTGAGTAACTGATTTTTAACTCCTTTCCATCAAAGCAGTAGCTCTTCTATGGCCTGCCCTACCTAATCCACCTAACCTTTGGTGAGTCTGCAAAGAATAGATTCTTTTCTCCAAACCTCTCCAGTTACAGTCTTCTGTAATTCCTGACAGCCCAAGAGTCTATTCTGTCCCCATCTCCCACATCATGAGCCCCCTTCTGACATCAAGTCCCCCTTTCATCAGAAGGCTCCCCTCCTTCCATTCCAATCTTTGCTAATTCTTCCCCAACCAAGTTCAGGCTCTGCCACTCCCACAGTGGCTTAGGTCATCCCCTAGGACATTTCTCCCCACCTGGCACCAAGATGCTCCTGAGGGGCTGTACCTCCACGCCCTGCATGGGATATTGTAGGGGGCAGTTGGCAGGGGCAATGAGCAGCTGGTCAGCAGCAGACTGGCTCCTGGCAGTGGAGGAGGGGAAGAACAGAGGAAGAGTCAGGAGGAGAGGGGTTCTCCCTCCTGTCCTGCCCCCCCCCCCCCCCCCCCCCCCCCCCCGGCCGCTGACTGCTTTCCACCTGCAGAGTTATGCTCTCCTTTCATTCTGGTACCTTGAAAGGAAGGCCTGGAACTCCTGTTCTCTCAAGGCAGAGGCAGCCTTCAGCTCCTCAGGGTCAAAGGCCTTGGTAAAGTCAATGGCTTGGACCTGTCTCTGGAAGGGGAGATGAAAGCTCCCCGCACTGGACTCACAACTGCAGTTGTTTCCAGACAATAGCCTGGAGCAGGAAGGAAGGGTCATCAGAGCCCAGTCATACAGCTCCGTTCATGCAACAAAATATTTAAACAGTACCTCACACCTTGACCCTTCAACCCTTTCTGTCCAATACCTGCCCCCTTGAACACTGCACTTCAAATATAGCCGGTGGGAGGGAGGATCATGAATAGGATGACCTATTCCCTAAAATGGGATTTCAGAGAGGTTCAGAATAGGGCCAAATTGCTAGAATTTCAGGGTTTTCCACCCATCATTCTGGATCCCATCTGGACTCTCCTTTCACATGGACATCATCAGTACATCAGAAAGTGTTTCAGGGCCATCCCCTAACTGCACACCCTCCCTTCCCCATCACCATGACATGGTTCAGGGAGGGCGGATATTCCCCCAGCTCAAGACTCAGTAGCTCCACCTCCCACTTCACCCCCACAACGACCGGGAAAACCCAGGCATCAGAGTCAGCAGTGGAGGAAACAAAAGCGCCACCCTCCACCCCCACCCCCAGCCCCAGTGAGTGACGCACTGACACCACCACTCCTGACACTCACCCCACCACTTGATCCTTGATTCTGACGGGGATGTGGGCATAGCGGGGCTCCGGGGCAAGGTCTGGCAGCTCCGGCCTGGGGGGACTCTGTAGGGGCGCCCACAGAGCAAGAGGCGCCCGGAGACCTGGCGCATCCCGGGTCCTCGCGTACAGGAGCCCCAGCGAGGCACAGGCGAGCAGCACAACCAGCACACAGAGGGCCCTGCGGCCCAGCCGCATCCTGGGTGGGTAGTAGCAGGTGGAAGGATGAGAAAGCTGGGGAGGAGAGGTGTGGGCAGACCCTCGATACCTCTACCTCCGCTTCCTGGGGTGCTCACCACCTTTTGCGAGTTAGGATTTATACAGCGTCGCCCCTTACCCACTCCCCTCAATCTCCGGGCTTTGTGTCTCCCAGCATTCTTTCTTCTCGCCCTCTCCCGCATCTCCGTTTCCTCTCATACCCAAGGCCCAGCATCTTGATTTGAGGGACCTTTGGATGCGGTGGTTTCCACGCGGCGGCGCATAAGAAGAGCCCCGCTTTATAAAAGAAGGGAAGGTCCCCAAGCCCGTCCCCCCCACCTCCAGCCCGCGCGTCCTCCCACTCCTCGGTCCGAGCATCACCTGGCCCCGGGTGTGCTACAAAGGGCAGCTCCACACCTTGCCTGTCATAAAAAATGTAGAATCACGCCCGCGCTATTGGGTGGCCCCGGCGGAGGTGACCTGGTGAGTGGCCTCGGGGGGCACAGAGTGGACGGGCGAGCGCGCCTCCTTCCACCTTCAGCTCAGCCCTCACCCGGCCTGGGCACTGACCTGTCTAACGCTCTAAGGCCGCCGCAAGATTTCGATCCAGGCTGCGCCAGGCTCTCAGCCTAGGCCTGGAGGTCCTCATGGGGCTGGAGGCGACCTGATGGGAGAGCCGGGTGTGAGCCTGAGAGCGTGGGAGATCCTCCTGCTTCCCCAGCGCGCCCGACCCCTCCCGCCTCGGACTCTGGGCTTTGTAGATTACGGCGCTGGGGTGGTTCTGGGCGTTTCCTGCCAGGGTACCAGGGTGGCGGGCGGGGTTGAGAAACCTCCGCATGAAGTGAAGATACCAGCCCCAGGAACAAAGCCAGGGCTCCCCTGTCTCACTTGCCCGGGAGGGCTCAGGCCGCCGCCGGGCTCTTCAGATCAGGGCGCCGCGCGGCTCGGTTTCCAGGCTCGCTGCGGCGAAGTCTTCGGCTACACGCAGGGAATGCGGGCGCCTTCTGGTGGGAGCCAAGGACATTGCGCGGGCGCGAAACGGTTGCCCAGAGGTCCTTCTCCCAAGACCTCCCGCCCCCAGCCCTTCGCCTCCGAACGGTTGGGGGCATCTCACCCGTCTGTTTCCAACCCCATTCTCTGCCCTATTCGTTCGGAGCCTCTTTCTCATCGAGATTGTAGGCGTTAATTGCTGTTAATTTTCTTATGAGCTTTGCATCTTAGTTTTCTAGTTTGTCTTTTGTGAGAGTTTCTTTCGCCCTCGCACGTGTGTGGGTCTTGGTTAGGATTCATTGTAGATGACAGAAACCACTGTAGGGATTTATTGCTGGGTATTAGGTGGTTTACAGTATGATTTGGGTGTTGGTTTTTGCATGGGCGATAGTGCCTTCCATAGGCTTATGGAAGTTCTTGGAGGCATTTTTGGTGGTCATAATGAACTGGCAAAATTACTGGCAATTGGTGAGCAGGTGTCAGCTAAGCCAAACGTCCTACAATGAATAGAACAAGCCTATGCAAGAAAGACTTGCCCCTCTGTTAGATAGGACAAGAGTCTCAAGGGACTGGACCAGCGATTTTCAACCTTTTTCATCTTATGACACACAAACTAATTACTGAAATTATTCAGCGTACCAAAAAATATATTTTTTGCCGATCTGACAAAAAATAGGTATAATTTTGATTCATTCACACCAGACGGGTATTTGTGTTAGCTGTTGTCATTTTTAAAATTTGACAATCTAAGGGAAGAGAGATTAGTGTCCCTGACTAGTCAGGTATTGCATGTTTTATTTATTTACTATTATTATTTTTTAAATCCTCACCTGAGGACATTTTTCCATTTATCATCAGATAGAGTGGGAAGGAGGGAGGGTGAAAGGGAGACACAGAGAGAAACATCGATGTGAGAGAAACTCACACCAACTGGCTGCCTCCTGCATGACCCCACCAGGCTGGGAGGAACTGAAACGGCCAGGGCTGGGTATTGCATGTTTTTTTTTTTTTTTAATTTTTTTCTTTATTTTTAGAGAAAGAAGAAGGCAGAGGGAGAAAGAAATAGAAACATTGAAGAGAGAGAACACTGATTGGCTGCTTCCTGCATGGCCCCCACTGGGGATTTGGCCCACAACCTGGGCATGTGCCCTGACCGGAATCCAACTGGTGACCTCTTGGTGCATGGGTCGCTGCTCAACCACTGAGCCACATCAGCTGGGCATGTTTTAAAAATTCTGTGGTGCTTTTCCCGAAAGCAGCCATAGGTGACTTCTGAAAATGGTTCTCTATTCACTTCACCCAGAAAACCCCACAAAATCATGCAAGTCAAGAGGTTCAAATCTTCGTGTTCACTTTAAGAACACTGGGGAAACTGCCCAGGCCATCAAAGGAATGCATATTCGAAAAGTTACCAAGTATCTGAAGGATGTCACTTTACAGAAGCAATGTGGTGGAGTTGGTAGGTGTGCCCAGGCGAAACAGTGGGCTGGACACAGGGTTGGTGGCCCAAAAAGAGTGCTGAGTTTTTGCTGCACATGCTTAAAAGTGCAGAGAGCAATGCTGAACTTAAGGGTTTAGATGTAGATTCTCTGGTCATTGAGCACATCCACGTAAACAAAGCTCCCAAGATGCACTGTAGAACTTACAGAGCTCCTGGGCGGATTCACCCATACATGAGCTCTCTGTCCCACGTTGAGATGATCCTCACTGAGAAAGAGCAGATTGTTCCTAAACCAGAACAGGAGGTTGCACAGAAGAAAAAGATATCCCAGAATAAACCGAAAAAACAAAAACTTATGGCCTGAGAGTAAATTCAGCATAAAATAAAGACTAATAAAAGTAAAAAAAAAAAAAAAAAAAATTCTTGCGGCACACCTGTTGAAAATCGTTTGGGCCATTCTTGCTAAATGTTAAACTGTAGCACAGTAATTTTCAGACCAACTGTAAAAGGGTAAGCTTCACAGGAACCCATCCTGATTAAGTGTAGCCAACTGTAAAAAAATGAAATCAACATCTAATTGGCCAAATACTGCATATAAGCAATGGCTAAGCCTTCTTTCCTAGAGGTGGAGCTTTGGATATGCATCATGTCTTTTTTTACTTGCTGCAGGTAAATAAAACTACCTTGAGACAACCAGGTCTTGTTTTTTGTTTTTTTCTTCTTTTTTAAAATTGATTTTTAGATAGAGAAGAAGGGAGAAGGAGAGATAGAAGCATTGATGAGAGAGAACATCGATTGGCTGCCTCTTGTATTCCCCTCACTGGGGATCAGGCCCACAACCTGGGCATGTGCTCTTACCAGGAATCAAACCAGTGACCTCTTGGTGCATGGGTCCAACGCTCAACCACTGAGCCACACTGCCGGGCCAGGTCTTTTTTTTAATAGAGTACCCCAAGCAGCAAACCTCTTAAGCTAGGTAAAAAATCTGGTTACTCAGATGGGATGTTTTTCCTTTTTTTTTTTTTTTAAGATGGGACTCTTAAAAGAACTCCTTATTGGCCTGCTGGGGATGCTTGTGAAAGAAGTCTGCAGCAGCAGCCCCTTCACTGTGTCTTCATTTGACAGAAAATCTGTTCTACAGGAGACTCCTGCTTGGTGCTGACCACCAGAATGGCTGCCTGGCCTGCCTCCACAGTGAAGCAGAGTGGCCACCTGAACCTGCTTCACTCAGCAGTTCGAAAGGGAGGCAGGTAGGTCAGCCCCAGTGGCCATGTTAATTAGTGCTTTTATTTCTGTTTTGGGTATACCACTGTTGGTAAGATAGTTTCAGTTCTGGTGTGTGTTTGGTTTCTGGTTGGCTGGACAGGAACTGTCTCCAGGATGCCAGATTCAGGGCCTGAACTAGGTCTAACTCTGGAGGATTGAGGAATGCCTGTGGGCAATCCAAGACATCCTTGGATGACAATCTCTGGCCTGGTTTTCTGCTTGTCTGTCCTGCAGGAGTTGGACTTTGTGTTTTTTGTGGACATTTGCATTTGCCTTATTTGTCTTATGTATAAATGTGCTGGCTATGGGAAACTCAGATATGATCCCTGAATGCAGCCCCTTGGGGTGCATTCTTCAGAATTGGATAAAAGAGCTCTGTTTATTTGACTTAAAGAAATTAAGTGCAGCCCTGGCTGGTTTGGCTCAGCGATTAGAGCATCGGCCTGCGGTCCATAGAGACCCAGGTTCAGTTCCTGCTAGGGGCACATACCTCGGTTGCAGTTTGTCCCCGGCCCTGGTTGGGTCATGTGGGTGGCAACCACTCGATGTGTCCCTTTCATGTTGATGTTTCTCTCTCTCTCTTCCTCTCTCTCCCTCCCACTCTATCTGAACAAAAAATGGAAAAATGTCCTTGGGTGAGGATAAAAAAAAAAAAAAGAAATTAAGTGCGTATATAAATTAAAAATATATAGCAAAAGGGTCAATGGTAGGAAGCTACCTATCCTGTCCAAGGCAGCCTCGTTGGAGGCTGGGAGTCTGTTGTAAATTTGAGGCATTGTTTCCTAAGTTTGGCTTCTTTTTTTCCTTGGGTTTCAACATTTAATAACCACACATAAGCTTTTTCCCACACCCTGCTTCCATCTAAGGATTGCACTTTCTGGGGCACCCTGCAACCAGGGGGAACCAGATGGCAAATGAGAATAGCACCCCTGCAATTCCCTAAGCAACAACGAGGTTCTCATCAGACGAGCCACACAACCTTCACCGAGGAGGACAAGCTTCACTTTCCAGTGGAAGGTGATCTGGGACAAGCAAGACTGAGTGGCTAAGTTCTGGCTGTGGGGCTCTGCGTCCAGTCTATGGCTAATGATGTAAAGAGATGTGCTTGGGGTTATATAGGAGGAATTACTGGTTCTATCTGTGATCTGTTTGACTAAGACTCCTGCTGCTTCCCTTCCTCTGAAGGATAAGGAAAAAAAATTACAGGCCACATCTCTTCAAAGAGGCTCATTGATGTAAAGAGGTGTTCTATTAGCAGGTATAATTTACAACTTTTACTAAAGGTGTGGTAGCAGAGGTCAAATATCCTAGGAGTAGTGAAAACTAAATAAAACCAAGCTTACCTGATTGGATTGGTGCCTGAAAAAAATAAGTCTGCTATGATTTGAAAATGTAGTTTGAGTCAGCTTTACTGGACTTGCAAAATGAAGCAGGTAGAATCAACCACATATATGTATTCTGAGAAACAGAGGACAAAAACTTGGGTTCCTAGCCCCACAGTGTGGGGAGAATATGGAAATGACACAGGGAAATGAATTACTTCTAGTCTGATGGAAATTGTGTTAAGATTTTGGGGTGGTCAGTGTCCCGTGTCTGCATGCACGTGTAAATGTATGCAGTTGGATACAACAGGAAGTCTGCTACCTGCAGAGACTAACAAGTAGACTTGAGCAAGGAAAAACAGGGGAACACCTGTTTCTGGTTCTCCTGAAAGATCTTAAAAAGTAATTTACTGGTTCCCTCTCCATTCACAGGAAAAAGCATATATCTGCAAGGATGATTTTGAGATCACTGACTCTGGGCAGGTGCAGTCATGCATTTTCCTGTGTCAGAGCCCGATCAAGTAGCTCATCTTCTTTTCTGAGCAGCAACCCATTAGCTCCCCCGTTCTTCTCTAAAGCTGTGGGGTGCTTGAGAGTGGAGCAGGTCAAAGTGAGAGAGGTAGCTCTCTTCATCCATAGGCAGGATGAGGTGTTTCTAAGCTGTGTCCCCTCCTTGGGGAGTGGCCCCCCTCAGCCTGGGCACAGGCCCCTATGGCTTGGGGGTCTTCTGACTAGCAGTAGAATGGGCTGACATGGGTGCTTGCCCTGATGTGGAAGCAGCAGGGTGGAGTAGCCCAGTGTTTGTCATAGCCAAAGGCAACCACTGATGTTTAGGAACAGAATGCTGTACTGCTAAGGTGTGAGCTGGTAGGGAGACAGGTGCAGGGGGACCACAGTACCCAGAGCCTTCCTTTTAGCAGATTGTCTGAATTGTGGCATGTGAGTCAAGCTGTTAAACCAGGCATGCTGGGCCTGTCCTTTGCCTTTCATAGTCCTACCTGTTTGCGACGTGGGGGAGGCCTTCTCAGCCCATCTTAACTAGGCAAAGTCCTGGATAGCCAGAAGCCCGAGGGCTGAGAGGAGCCCAGATGTGGCTGCATAGGAGGTGACTGTGCTAAGTGTGAGCATCTGCTGCCCAAGAGTAGCCCCTGTGGCATTGCTGACTTCCTTTATTTTGATCTCCTTTTTCATACTGATTTGAACAACCTGAGCCTGCAGTTGTTTTCTGTCTTCACTTTCAGTCTTGGTATCCCGTTTTCAAGTGGGGCCAAGTGGTGGAGGAAACACAGTCTGTGAAAGACAAAAACTGTGGGCTACATAGACCTCAGGTGATCTGCTCATCTCAAGGCTTGTCCCAGTGCCTACTGGGCAGTGGGTTTGGGGGACAAAGAGGTTGCAAATGAGTGGTGCTTTCTCCTTGTATCTTGATATTCAGGAGCACTTTTATCTATGAACTGCAGCTGTGTAGCTTGTTCACCAGGGGATGATGTCTAACAGGGCGTCTGCTCACAGAGGGCCTTGGGCTATGTGGGCCTGAACAGCGTGGCCTCTTATGTTTGGCCATACCTGCCCATGTGTGTGGCACACAGACACACACACATACACATAGTTTATATTACCTGGGAGTGCCTCCTGCCGTCACAGGTGGCTTTTCTGTGGTGCACTGTCCCAAGAGAGCAGATGCTAAGGGCCATGTCAGGACTTCCTCCTGACCTGTCCTCTCTCCCAGGCCAAGGTGCCTTATGAGGTGCAAATCTTCACTTGGCCACATGGCAAACATCACTGTGCTTGAGAAACCATGGGACACCGACTGGATATTATGTAGAACTATCATATCTGATATCCTTTCCTCCTCTGGGATTGCTGTGCTTCATCCACTGGGTTCACCCTTTCTGCATAGTCACTTTCTGCCCAGATCCTACCTGCCCTTCAAAGTCCTGGATAGACCTAGCAACTTAATAAGTGATTTCTGAATAAAAACCATGGCATGCCTTGGCCAGTATGGCTCAGTGGTAGAGCATCGGCCCACGGACCAATGAGTTGTGGGTTCACTTCCAGTCAAGGACATGTACCTTGGTTGCAGTTTGGCCCCAGCCCTGGTTGGAGCCGTGCAGGACACAACCAGTCAATGTGTCCCTCTCACGTCGATGTTTCTCTCTCTCTCCCTCACACTCTATCTGAAGATAAATAGAAAAATATCCTTAGGTGAGGATTAAAAACAAACAAACCATGGCTTGATGTCTTGGATTAAAATATGACAGCACCTTCCTTCTTCTCTCCCTTGTTGGTATCTTTGTGCTTAGGGAGGCTATCACTTTGGTTCACCTTGCTCATTAGATCCCCACCAGAGTGTGGGTTTATGAGTGGCAGGTTCTCAGTCTCCTTGATTTTTCCCCTGCTTCTGCCTCACCTCTTATGGTGCATGTCTCTTGTTGAGTAGTGCTCTCCTCGGATAGAATGAGAGAAAAGGAGAGAGAGAGAAACATCAACATGAGAGGGAGACCTTGACTGGTTGATCCCGCACGACTCCGACCAGGGCTGGGGATCAAACTGCAACCAAGGTACGTGCCTTTGACTGGAATTGAGCCCATGGACCAATGGGTCTGCTCTAAACATGAGCCAAACTGGCCAGGGTAAGAAGTGCTCTCTTTATGCCCTCCTGTTCTCAGGGACCCCAGAAACTAGGAGACTCCAAGACATTCATAAATCAGGCAAAGAATTTTACTTCTTTAACTCAAAGACATACTCTGTCCGTGTTCAGCAGGTAGCCCTTACAGAAGTACAGCCCTCATCCCTAGTCACTCAAGAATGTGGAGGAAAAAATGGAAGGGGGTGGGGGGTGGCTGGCCAGTGTAGCTCAGTGGTTAGAGTGTTGGCCCTCAGGCTGAAGGGTCCAGGTTCAATTCCTGGTCAAGGGCATGTACCTGGGTTGCAGGTTTTTTCCCCATTGCTTTTTAGATAGAGTGGGAGGGAGGAAGTGGGAGAGAGAGAAAGAGAGGGAGAGAGAGAGAGAAGGAGAGAAACATCAATATGAGAGAGACACATCAACTGGTTGCCTCCTGCATGACTCCCCGGGGATCAAACCTACAGCTGAGGTACATGCCCTTGACCAGGAATCAAATCTGAGACTCTTTGGTCTACAGGCTGAGGCTCTAACCACTGAGCACCCGGCCAGGGAGCCTGTCTTGTTTTTGAGGACACCAACCTGTGTGCTGTCCATGCCAAATGTGTAATAATTATGCCAAAGACATCCAGTTAGCATGCCACATATATGAAGAATGTGTTTAAGAATCCACTGTAATGGAAAACATTGAAAAACATGTCATTCTTTTTTGTTTTTTTCTGTCCTTTTCTTTTTAATCCTCACCTGAGGACTTGTTCATTAATTTTGGGGAGTGAGGGAAAGGGAGAGAGAGAAAAAAACATCAATGTGATAAAGAAACACCCATCAATTGCCTCCTGTAAGCTCCTGGACTATGGCTGGGGATTGAACCCTCAACCTAGGTATGTGACCTGATCCCGAGAATCAAACCCGCAACCTTTCAGTATATGGGATGATGCTCTAACCAACTGAGCCACACAGGCCAGGGCTTTTCTGTTTTTTACTTTTTAAAAAGTTTAATTTTTGCAGATGGCGGCATAGGTAAACGCGGTATTGTGTCCTCCGACAACCACATCAAAGATAAAACTAAACTACAGAACAACCATCATTCAAAACTGCCTGAACTTGAACTGAATGGAAGTCCTACAACTACGGAATGAAAGCAGCAGCCACATCGAGACTGGTAGGAGGGGCAGAGGCGGAAGGGCTGGTCCTACACCCTTGTGTGGAGAATAAAAATCAGGAGGACACCTCGTCTGGGAAGGTCTTCTCTGAGGACTGAGGGGTCCCTGTCCCACACCAGGTGCCCCACTCAGGGTTGCAGTGCCAGGAAGAGAAGTCCCCATAACTTCTGGCTGGAAAAACCAGCAGGAACTGAGGCTCAGGGAAGCTGAGGCGGCTGGAGCCCCAGGCAGCTCCTCTCAAAGGGCCCGCACACAGACTTACTCAGACTCTCTCCCTCTAAGCTTGGAGAGGCAGCTTGAGGGGCACCAGACATACAGGGAAGAACTGAGCTGTCTGACACTGGAGTGAGGGCTAGAGAGGGGGCTTTCTCCGGGACAAACATGCTGTCAGAGGCCTTTGTTCCTTTGGTGAGCCCTTCCCTGGGGCAGCAGACAGCCGCCTTATCTGGGACTCCAGCAACCTCGCTCACATTGGTTGCCCCGCCCTGGTGATTCCCTGAGGCCCTGCCCCACCCAACCTTTAGGCCCACCCAAGCTGTTGCCAGGTGGTTAACCGTAGGATTGGCCTGTCTTGGATCCTGCTTCAGGTTTTCCTAAATTCTTTCAAACAAGCAGAATCTGGTTTCAGATAGCCCCATACTTCTCATTAAGTAATACATAGAAACAAACACAGGGAGGCAGCCAAAATGAGGAGACAAAGAAACAGGTTCCAAATGAAAGAACAGAACAAAACCCCAAGAAAAGAACTAAGCGAAATAGAGATAAGCAACCCAACAGATGCTGAGTTCAAAATACTGCCTATAAGGATGCTCAATGAACTTAGTGAGGGCCTCAAGAGCATAAAAAAGGACCAGTCAGAAATGAAGGATGCACAGCCAGAAATGAGGGGCACTAACTGAAATAAAGAATAATTTACATAGATTCAATAGTAGAGTAGGTAAAGCCAAGAAGCAAACCATCGATTTGGAATATGAGGAAGCAAAAAACGCCCAATCAGAACAGCAAGAAGAAAAAAGAATTCAAAAAAATGAGGATAGTGTAAGGAGCCTCTGGGACAACATTCACATCATAGGGGTGCCAGAAGGAAAAAGAGAACAAGAAATCAAAAACCTATTTGAAATAATAATGGTGGAAAACTTCCCTAACTTGGTGAAGGAAACAGACATACAAGTCCAGGAAGCACAGAGAGTCCCAAACAAGATGAACCCCACGAGGCCCACACCAAGACACATCATCATCAAAATGCAAAAGGTTCAAGACAAAGAGAAAAAAATTTTTTTTCTAATCCTCACCTGAGGACATTTTTCCATTTTTTATTCAGACAGAGCAGGAGGGAGAGAGAGGAAGAGAGAGAGAAACATCGATGTGAAAGGGACACATCAAGTGGCTGCCACCTGCACGACCCAACCAGGGCCAGGGACAAACTGCAACCAAAGTATATGCCCTTAGCGGGAACCAAACCCAGGTCTCTCTGGACCACAGGCCAAGGCTCTAACTGCTGAGCCAAACTGGCCAGGGCAAAGAGAGAATCTTAAAAGCAGAAAGAGAAAAGCAGTTAGTTACCTACAAGGGAGTTCCCATAAGGCTGTCAGCTGATTTCTCAAAAGAAACTTTGCAGGCCAGAAGGGAGTGGCAAGAAATATTAAGAGTGATGAAAAACAAGAACCTACAACCAAGATTACTCTATCCTGCAAAGTTGTCATTTAGAATCAATGGCCATATAAAGACTTTCTCAGACGAAAAAGTTAAAGGAGTTCATCACTACCAAACCATTATTATATGAAATGTTGAAGGGTCTTTTTTTTTTTTTTTTTTTTTTTTTATCCTCACCTGAGGACATTTTTCCATTTTTTGTTCAGATAGAGTGGGAGGGAGAGAGAGAGAAACATCGACATGAAAGGGACACATCGAGTGGCTGCCACCCGCACAACCAACCAGGGCCGGGGACAAACTGCAACCGAGGTACGTGCCCTTAGTGGGAACCGAACCCGGGTCTCTCAGTACCGCAGGCAGACGCTCCAACCGCTGCACCAAACCGGCCAGGGCTGAAGGGTCTTTTTGAAGAAAAAGATAAAATATATTACCAATCAAAATGGCAATGAATACATATCTATTGACAATGGAATCTACAAACAAAATAAACAGGAAGAACAGAAACATTCTCATAGATAAAGAGAACATTTTGTTGGTTGCCAGATGGGATGGGGGTTGGGGGAATAGGTGAAAAAGGTGAAAGGATTAAGAAGAACAAATTGGTTGCTAGACTGACAAACCTCAAAGGAAAGGGGGTTGGGAGGTGGGAAGAAATAAACCAAAGAACTTATATGCATAACCAATGGACACAGACAACAGTGTGGAAAAAGGTGGGAGGGGGGTAGGAGTGGGGAAGAGGGGGTCAATGGGGGAAAAATGAGGAACAACTGTAATACATTCAACAATAAAGATTAAAAAATAAAATAAAAAGTTTAATTTTTGTGTTGAGATAAATTATCTTCACTCATATTAGCTAACTTCATAAAATAGAGATTAGAAGGAAGGGTGCTTATACAATATTTATAATGAAAGTATTTATTTATCATTAAATTATATATTGTTAAAAGTAATTTTATTTCTTTTTATAGAGAGGAATTTTAGTTGCATTAATATTTTCCATTAAGAATATGATAATTAAAATAATAATAATGTTACTGCCCAATAACCTTATCATGTAATTGTGAAGCCCCACAGGTTTACACTTTGAATTTCAAGAAAAGTATTGCACTCTGTTTAGCCCTTTATAATGAGGTATCATAATTCATAGATGCTTTTCAACAATTAGGTTATTCTAAATCTAACTTTTTAAACAAGTCTGCAAATATAGTCAGTATTCCACAGTAATACAGGGAAACTTCAGAGGGTATATTAGGGTTGGTGGAGTTCTTGAACATTATGTATGTTCTTTGACATTAAGCGAAGAACTAAATCTACTATTTAAAAAAATATTATCTGAGCCCTGGCCGGTTTGGCTCAGCAGTTAGAGCATTGGCCTGCGGTCCCGAGAGACCCAGGTTCGGTTCCCGCTAAGGGCATGTACCTTGGTTGCAGTTTGTCCCCGGCCCTGGTCGGTTGTGCGGGTGGCGACCACTCGATGTGTCCCTTTCACGTCGATGTTTCTCTCTCTCTCTCTGTTCCTCTCTCTCCCTCCCACTCTACCTGAACAACAACAACAAAAAAATGCATCATAATCTCACTCTATCTGAACAAAAAAATGGAAAAATGTCCTCAGGTGAGGATTAAAAAAAATGTTATCTGAGATTATGATGCATTTTTTGGTTGTTCAGGTAGAGTGGGAGGGAGAGAGAGGAACAGAGAGAGAGAGAGAAACATCGACGTGAAAGGAACACATCGAGTGGTCGCCACCCGCACAACCGACCAGGGCTGGGGTCAAACTGCAACCCAGGCATGCGCCCTTAGCGGGAACCGAACCCGGATCCCTCAGGACCGCAGGCCGACCCTCTAACCGCTGAGCCAAACCGGCCAGGGCGATTATGATGCATTTTGACATATTTCAGGAATGTTTAGAATGCACAGAAAGAAATGATGAGTTGTACAGTAGATACTTTTTTCTGTGGGGGAGGGGTGGTGGTGGTGGCGGCAGGGAGTTCTCTTTGAAACATGTTTCAGGGGAAATATATATATATATATATATTCAAAAAGGTATGAAGTTAAACAAATCTTGCTAATTTAGCTGTATAAGAAAATCAATGTGGCCCTGGCTGGTTTGCTCAGCGGTTGGAGCATCAGCCTGTGGTCCCGAGAGACCCGGGTTCGGATCCCGCTAAGGGCATGTACCTCGGTTGCAGTTTGTCCCCGGCCCTGGTTGGTCATGCGGGTGGCAGCCACTCCATGTGTCCCTTTCACGTCGATGTTTCTCTCTCTCTCTCTTCCTCTCTCTCCCTCCCACTCTACCTGAACAAAAAAATGGAAAAATGTCCTCGGGTGAGGATAAAAAAAAAAATCAATGTGGTTCATGCAAATTGCTTGTGCTACTTCCTCTTTTTCAACATGTGTGAGTTTTGCCACAGGTGGAATCATTTATTGACGTGTCCATTCACCCAACATATATTGAACAGCTATTATGTATCTATTCCCTGGGATTATAGAGGAAAGAAAGCAAACAAAGTTACTTCTCTCATGAAGATTACATTCTAGAAGTGAAGTATAATAAGTGATATATTTATATTAAGTGGTGATATATGCTATAGAGAAAATAAAAAGAAGTAAAACAGATGGAGGCAACTGGTGGTAGTTCACAATTAAATTAATTTAAACTTTGAAGCAGAATTTGAAACACACCCATCAGAGCCATTGTCTGGAGAAGAGAGAATAGAAACTGTGTATCATATGACCCTATTACAAACTCTGAATTCATCAATAACTGGTTGTTGAGAGGTCCTCAAAAAACAATTATAAAGCTAAAAACAGCAAAAGTTATTTGTTGAAAAATATAGATACTGCATTAAACATTTTATACACATTATTATTGTTATAATATATTTTTAGGTTTATTTTATGTTTTCCATTTTAGAGATTGTAGTAGATTAAATATGGTTATATATTATTTACAGCTCCTGCCATGAGGAAGTAGAACCCAGCCCTTCTGGGTGGCTTAGTTGTTTGGAACAAACACTAAAAGGTTTCAGGTTTGATGCCCAGTTGGGCGAGTATGGGAGACAAACAATAGATGTTTCTCTCACTTTGATGTTTCTCTTTCTCTAAAAATCAATAAAGCATATCTTTGTGTGAGGATTAAAAAACCTTGTGAGAGGATTAAGAAAAAAGAAGTGGAGCCTGGCCAGTGTGGCTCAGTGGTTGAGCATCAACCCTTGCACCAAGAGCTCCCCAGTTCAATT